CCTCTCTGTCTCTCCCACCCCTGTTTCTCTCTAATAAGTGCACATGCTCTCTGGCAATTAAAAATATAATTTGGGGGGCCAGCAGGTAGAGTGGTGGTAAAGATGCTGGACTTCCACATGGCTGGTTGGAGTCTGGACCTGGCGGCTTGAAACTCATGCCAGGCATGTGCGTGCCCCAAATCCCGGGAGAAGGGATTGTGGTCTGGCCATGCCTCCGAGGAGTGACTTCCTACGTTCCCTCTCACTGTTTCTTTCTGTCTCTCTGGTGAGCACACATGGCCTATGGCAAAAATCGTAATAATAATAATAGTAATAATTTTTTTTTAAGTTTATTTAGTTTTTCCCACGAGTGAGAGAGAGAGAGACAACACTCATCTCAGGAGGGTTATTGATGTTGCAATCCACCCATGGCCTTGGCCAGTCCAGGATCATGGGCGCGTGTGCGTGGTGTGTTCCGGAACGTAAACCCAGAACCTTCTCATGCAGGTGGGCCTTGCAGAACATTGTGTTTTACCACTGCACCCTGTCTGACCCTGTGAATGTATTTTAACTTGCATCATGAGTGTAACCTGGGCCTCCCATGTGGCTGTGGTATCACACAGTGGTACTAGGGAAAAAAAAGTGTATCCAACCTACCAAACCCAGGAATTCCTGTCTATTCATACTTAAATTAGTTTAAAAAATTTAATTTAATTTATTACTATTATTATTATTATTATTATTAAACTTTCTAGTCTTCAGAGAGAGACAGGTGGGGAGGGGGAGTGAGAAAACAAGCTGCCAGGTCTGGACTCGAACCGTGGTTGGCCATGTGGGAGTCCAGCACCTTAACCACCACCACACCACCTGTTGGCCCCAATACTTAATGTTTAATAGCATAGGCCCGGAGTCAGATTTACTGGGATTGGTTCCCAGATCCCTTACCCCGGCTGTGTGACCTTGGGCAAGCCACTTAGTGTTTCTGAAGCCCAGATTTGTCCTCAGGAAAACCTAGGGCCGGTCACATCCTTCCTACCTGGTAAGCTTGCCGTGAAAATGAAAGCGGTTGGGGCGCAGGACCCCCAGCTCTGCCTGCCGAGGACAGTGCAGGGAGTGACCTCACCCTTCGACCTGTACAGCTCCCGGGAGACGAGAACGTGTTTTCCGTGTCTTGTTTTGTACACCGGTGTGTGTGCACGGCACTTGTCCACGTGTGGCTCCTGGTCTCCGGGTCAGGGAGGCTCATCCCTCCCCCTCCCATGCCACCTGGAGCCGGGATTACCTGCGTGTGCTCACAGGTGTGTGAGCGCGCCCACGAGTGTGTCGTTGGGAGTCCACACGTTTTCTGCCCCCGGGCTGGATTTCTCCTGGCCCACTGTCTCCATCTTTTCTCCTGTCAGCCCTCGGTGCTGCCCCACTCCGGGATTGGCAGGGGATCTGCTCCCCTAGGGCCTCCCTGTGGCTGGGGCCTCGGGAATGTCGCCCCAGGGCCCGAGTACCTCCACCGTATCTGCCCAGAGACACTGCTTTCTGGGCCTTTCCCCAGGGCCCCGGGACCCCAACTGGGACGGGTAGGAAGGGAGCTGAGGCCCTGCGGTTGGCCCATGGGTGCTGGGGTTGGGATGGGGAGGGACTCAAAGGAGAAGCTCTGAGCAGCGGCTGGGCACGGCAGGTTTCTAACCACGGCTTTGTTGTGACTCGTTGGCACACGGCGGTGAGTTTTCACGTGTGTACGCGCCCGTGACATGGTCACCACAGTCAAGATCATGACCCGTCCTTCGCCCCCATGGCTGCCTGTGCCTCTGGGTAACTCCCCCGCCCCCTCCCTGCCATTTCAGCCCCACTTGCCTTCTCTCAGAGCTCTCAGCCCTTCCTACCAACCATCTTTCTCCCTGGTATGACCCATCCTCTGCACTATCCAGAAGTCAATTCGCTTCTTCCAGGAAGCCTTCCCAGACTGCATCTCCTCTGAGCAAGCCCAGCCCTCACAGCCTGATGGCTTTGAAGGCCCCTGAGTGTCCAGCCTTTCCAGTCTTGTTTCCTTGGTGGGCAAGGCCAGCTCCTCCTTTTGTCACCCCACCCAGGACGGGTGGCCTGTAGGAGGCTGTGCACAGGGCGTCCGGGTGGCTGTATGTGGCGATTAGTGTCTGGGGCCCTCTGGGGAAGCACGAAAGGTGCAAAATGGTCCTCCCGGCGTGCTTTCCCTCTCCCCTGACTCCCGGTCTCCCCTCTCCTTCCTGGAAGGGTGGGCGGTCTGGTGCTGACCCGGCTCCCTGCGTTAAGGTCCTGCTGTGGAGGAACCTGAGTCTGAGACACCCAGAAGGCCTCTGTCACAGTTCGTGGCCTCCTCCTCTCTCGCCTTTGCCATCCTTCAAGACTTTCTTTCCCGAAGATGACAGGAGAGCTGGGGGGCTGCAGTTCCTGAACCTGGGGCGCAGGTCTGAGGCTGCATCCTAACGCTGCCAGAGCCACAGGGTAGAGGCCACCCGATGGCGGGGAGGGGAAGCGTCCACACTGTCAGCCAGTTAGTGACAGACACAGCCACCCCACCCTGGTTCCTGGACTCCAGCCACATGCGTGTGACGTGTCTTCCCCTCAGCCAGGCCCTGCCCCGTACTCTGTCGTTTTGGGGTGTAGTAGAGCTCTCTGTGGAAGAAAGTGGCATGCAGCCCAGGAGGTCTCGAGGCAGATCCTGGGTGAAGCGGAGCCCCCTGTGTCTAGGGCATGGCAGGCCTGGGCAGCAAAAGCGGGCAGGAAGCCTGGGCAGGGAGGGAAGGGAGGCGAGGGCCGTGGCCCTGGGGCCAATGCTGCAGAGGCAGGCAGGCTCTAAGGCTCCTCCCTCTCCTTCGCCTCCTCCAGGAGGCCTTCCTGAGGAGTGACCTGCGGCTTGTCACTTCTGGCACTTAGCACAGTGTGGCATTTTGTACTGTGGCTTCTGTCCACGTCTCTCTCCCTCCTGCACTGCTGGCTTCCTGAGGACAGAGTCCACGCTGTTCTGCGTCTGTCTCAGCAGTGCCGAGTCAGAGCTCGCTCTTCAGCAGATGTGGAGTAGAGACCACTGACTAAGATAAACGAATCAACAAGTTAACAGTGGTGGTAGTGACGGTGAATGGTGGGGAGGTGGTGATGAAGGAAAGATGAGGCAGGTGGTGGTGAAGGTGACGGGTGAAGGAGGACAGATGGAGATGAGAGCTGATGGGGGAAGAACAAGGACAGGCTGTAGTAGAGGTGATGGTTGAGGTAGGAGGTGGAGGAGGTGATGGGTGGAGGAGGGTAGGCTGTGGTGGAGGTGATGGGTAGAGGATGAGTGTAGGTGGTAGAGGTGAAGGTGATGGGTGAAGGAGGGGGGTAGGCTGTAATAGAGGTGATAGTTGAGGTAGGAGGTGGAGGAGGTGATGGGTGAAGGGGGGGATAGGCTGTGGTGGAGGTGATGGGTGAGTAGAGAGGGTAGTCTGTGGTGGAGGTGATGGGTGAGGGAGGGGGTTAGGCTGTGGTGGTGGTGATGGATGAAGGAGGAGAGTAGAAGGTGGAGGAGGTGATGGGTGAATGAGGAGGCTAGGAGGTGGAGGAGGTGACGGGTGAGGGGGGAGGGTAGGCTATGGTGGAGGTGAAGGATGAAGGGGGAGGGTAGGAGGTGATGAAGGTACCAGGTGAAGGAGAGGGGTAGGCTGTGGAGGAGGTGACGGGTGAAGGAATGGGGTAGGCTGTGATGGAGGTGACAGGTGAAGGAGGGGGGTAGGCTGTGATGGAGGTGAAGGAGGGGGGTAGGCTGTGGAGGAGGTGATGGGTGAAGGAGGGGTGTAGGCTGTGGTGGAGGTGTCGGGTGAAGGAGGGGCGTAGGCTGTGGTGGAGGTGTCGGGTGAAGGAGGGGTGTAGGCTGTGGAGGAGGTGAGAGGTGAAGGAGGGGGTTAGGCTGTGGTGGAGGTGACGGGTGAAGGAGGGGGGTAGGCTGTGGGGGG